TTATTGTATAAGATGTATATACTATATTTCGAAATTAACATATTTTTTATTTTTTAAAAATATCTTAAGATGAGATATAGATAGTATTCTATGAAAAGATAGAGAAGTATTCTTGCCTCTCTATTTTACCTTTTCAATGAATATCTAAAATAAAGAATAATTTTGTATATTTATATCTATCAATATCAATAATTATGCATTCAAGAAACTTCTACTCCTTTAAATTTGCATTCCAATAATAATATTTTCCATAATTATAAATGCCCAATTAACTATCAGCCTTGGATATTAGAGCAGATTCAAGCGTTTATCCATCATTAAATCCAAGTAGTTCATTAACTTTCATAGTCGACTCTCTCTCTCTCTCTCTCACTCTTTCTCTCTCACTCCCTCTTTCAGCAATATGCTTGTATAGTCGTAGTCATTATGCAAATTTTAATGAGGTTTTACATGCTTTTACTATTTATTTTAGTTAGGGGCAGCTAACTTAGGGAACTAGAGAACCCATCAACACTTTCTTTTGATTAGCTAATGGCGTTTATTTGATTTCAAATTGTTTACAACACGCGCAGCTGATCTGAGCTGAGCTGAGCCCTTGTGTCTTGTGTTATATAAGGCACGTAGCGCGAAAGTGAAGAAACACTTGTTGGCTTGGCTTGCCTCACTCACTGATTGAATGGGGCTTGGGGCCAGGGGCACTGGAGAGTGAGGCGTGAGGAGTGGCTAGGTTTGGTTAGTTGGTTAGCTGTTGCTGCCTGGCACGTAGCAGTGGCAAATCACAGTTGTGCGATTACCAACTTGGCAAATGAATTGAATATAAGCAATGGGAATGGTAATAGATGTTTCAAATAACACTCACACACACACATACATATACTTGCTAGCAGATGGGCATTGCGCAAGCACAGAAAACTGTTGCCTACTTGCGAGGGCAGCTGTGAAGTGCGTAATAAAAATAACACGAGCAACAGCCCGCAGCAGCGCAGCTAACTGCAGTACTCGTACGAAAATAAACTACAGCTACAACATATACAAAATAAATAATAAAAGAAAAAAATAAATAAACAAGAGGAAGAAGAAGAAGAAGCTGTAAGACAAACAACGAAAAGAACTGTGAACTGTGTCCTCTGTGTGTGTGTGTGTGCGAAGGTTGTTTATTTTGTGTGCAAAGCGCAGCAGAATGCGCCACTAAGTGCAAGTGAAATCCACAAAGGACGACGCCCAGGCACCGGCAGCGGAAACGGAAACGAGAACAACATGCCACGACTTATTAGCAGCTGCAGCAGCCACCAGCGGGCCATCAGCATGACGCGCATCAATTGTCTGTGGCTCGCCCTGCTGCTCGGCCATAGCTGCAACATCTTTGGATTACTGCGACTCGAACAGCACCTGGTCGAGGGTGAGTCTTGAATAGTAGCAACCCCATCTTCCGCTTGGCCAACCGATGTGAAAGACATTACACAGTTCGCTAACTGCTGGCCAATCTTGCACTGCATTCTAAAATAGAGAGCAGCACTGAAGGTTTACATTGTTGCAGAGTTGAGCATCTATTTTTCATTAAAAAGTTTCGTTTTAAGGGAGTCGGAAGTCGGAAGACAGTTGAAAAAGACAGAAGAAACTTGTTAACTTAAAGACTAAATTACAACATTATTATTTAAATAATTTGTAAGGATTAAAATCAATAAAAAATCTGATGATTCTTTTATTTATAGAAATTTTATCAGTAAAAGTATGTAATTATTTTAAATTTATTAAATTTTTTGGGGCAGACAAAACTAAAAAAAAAAAAAATAATAATCTGTAAGCATCATATTTAACAATTTTTAAAGTTGATTATATTCATTTGATATTAATATTTATAAGATAAAAAACAATTTAATTTGTTTTATTTTTTATTTCCTGATTTTTTTAGAAAAAATTAATCAAGATCAAAGTGACAATATGATTAAAGCATTTCTTCTATTTATATACCATGTTAAGCATATTCAACATTTTATTAAAAATTTGCTAATAAAATTTTAAGAAAAATAAAATATTCTAGAATGATGATGCTTAAAATCTGTGTCAAATAAATTATGCACATTTTATGAGCGCACGCTTCAATTGTGTTTTACGTTTTCCATTTGTGATTTGCTCCGCTTGGTCCGACTCCGCTTGATGTCATTATGAGCGCAGCCTTTTGATTTAATGACAAATGCCATAAAACACACAAGCTCACATGCACACACCCACACACAGACACATACGCACATCCACACAAATCTCCGCCCGAATGCGTGTGAGTGTGCGTGTGTGTTTGTGGAGCTTGTGTTTTATGCGCGCTTTTGATTTATTTCCAAGTGCTCGCAAATGTTATGCTTTTCATTATTTTTTATGATAATTTATCAAATATGTGAGCAGCATGTAGAACAAAAAGCAGCCAAACAAAAAATAAGAAAAATGAGAGAGCGAAAGCAAACAGTTGGCAGTCGTCAGTCGTCAGTCGTCGCTCGTAAGTTTATGACCTTTCTGAAAAGGTGGCAACAGCCTGCTGATTGCAGCTTAGCCTCAATAATAGCCCACAAAACGGTTTTAGACCAGTTAGCACAGCTTTAAATAACCTCCAAGCTGAAACAGCAACAACAACAACACTGAGAGCCAAAAGCCAATTCAACAGCAGCTTATAGCGCCTTTTTTTTTTTTGCCATCTTCTCTTTGCCTCCTGTTTACCTGCTGCTGTTGTTGTGACTCCTGCTGGGATCACAGCACTGCCCTTCGAGTATTTGGATGAGCACGTGGATGACTTCAACTACGACCTGGACGAGGCACAATCGCAGGCCAAATACGATGCTCGACTGCTGTCCGAGCAAATGCTGAGCGACGCTGAGCTGCAGCAGAGAGCCGACATGGAATCCGGCATTAACTCCAATTCCAATACCAACACCAACACCAACGGCAACAACAACAACAACCAAAACAGCTTCAGTGCCAACTCCAACAACGACTTGGCGGCTGAGGACGACTTGGAGCCGCATAGTCGAGCAGCGTCATGCTTCACAAATGGCCACAAGTACACACACGGACAAAAGGTAAGCACACACACACACACAAGCACACACACACGGAAGGATTTTGCTACATTTACTGCACCTGTGCGCATATTCATATGCGGTTGCACCACATGCTCTGAACGGCATTTTCTTGCTCTTGGCTGGGCTACAAAATGACTTATTCAGACCTTGATTTCACAGTTGGAACTCTTGGCGAAAGCTTTTTGATAAATGTTGTTTTAGCCACAATTTAACAGAATATATGTGTTATGATATATGCTGTGTACATTTACGGCTTGTGATATATTGAGATTAGTCCATTTCCTGAATGGGTTATTGTTATATTAATATTTATTTATTAATATTGCAGAGCTTAACAAAAATAATGGGAAAATATTTATAAAATAGTTTTTATAATAAAAAATTTGAATAGTAGTTATATTTGTACTTTTCTTTTTATAGAAAACAAAATATTATTTTTTCCCCCACAAAAAATATTTCGCTAAGCTTTATAAAATATTATAAAAATATACTTTCAATACTGAAAATTTCCTATTACTTTAAATTTCAAGTTAAATCTGCCTTATATTTGAAATATATATTTA